AAAAAAGAGCATTGTTGGTGTCAGTAAGCCTAACACTACTGTTGTGCTCCTTGAGTCGGTCAGAAAGAGAATGGCTGGTTTCTCCAAAGAACTGAAGAGGACAAGAGGAACATGAAATAGAATAGACACCAGGAGCATCTATAGAGGGAGAAGAGGTATGAACTAGATTGATGCGAAGTGTTAGTCTGGTGAAAAGTAAGTTTGATATCAAAGGAACGGAGAGAGTTGTTGAGATTAGAAAGACTGGAAATATAGGGAAGGCAGAGAACAAATTTCCCAGGAGTACTACTACCTCTCTTGTCCTGTCCCTGTCTTCTGGCCTATATATATTGCCTCCTTCTCTCCTTTCTGTTAGTGTGACTTTGTAAATGGTCCAAGTCAGACCGAAACGTCGTCGTAAGCTCCCCTCTCCTATGTGCGGGTTATTTGTGTATTGTTCTAGTCACGGTATTATGCCTTTTTTGTTCTTTGTGGTAATTCAACCAGGCTATGGTGAGTAAATGGGCCTGTGGACTGGCAACAGCAACAGCCTGGTTGAACAAGCAGTCAACAAGGAAGCTTAGCAAAAGGCCAGGCTGGTAGCGTAGAAAATCCCTCGAAATCATGTGTACTACATCTATACCTGTCTTTCCCCTTTCACTTGTTTTTCCACCCCCACATCTACCTTTCCGCTTCTACACCTGCCTTTCCACCCTCACCCCTACCTTCCCGCCCCCACACTTCCCTCCCACCCTTTCCCCCCATCGTCGTCCACAACACAATTATATTGGAAATTAAACCAATTACTGCAAAGTGGTGGACTCCTTGCGTGTGCTCCCAAGAATAACCTTTCCATGCTGGGTAAGGTGGGATGGGCAATGTGAGTGGGGAAGGGAAGGGTAATGTGGATGGAGGAGCGCGAAACGCGTAGGATTATACAGCGCTCTTCTTCTTCTTCTTCTTCTTCTTCTTCTTCTTCTTCTTCTTCTTCTTCTTCTTCTTCTTCTGCTGCTGCTGCTGCTGCTGCTGCTGCTGCTGCTGCTGCTGCTGCTGCTGCTGCTGCTGCTGCTGCTGCTGCTGCTGCTGCTGCTGCTGCTGCTGCTGCTGCTGCTGTGCTGCTGCTGCTGCTGCTGCTGCTGCTGCTGCTGCTGCTGCTGCTGCTGCTGCTGCTTGCTGCTGCTGCTGCTGCTGCTGCTGCTGCTGCTGCTGCTGCTGCTGCTGCTGCTGCTGCTGCTGCTGCTGCTGCTGCTGCTGCTGCTGCTGCTGCTGCTGCTGCTGCTGCTGCTGCTGCTGCTGCTGCTGCTGCTGCTGCTGCTGCTGCTGCTGTCGCTGTCGCTGTCGCTGTCGCTGCTGCTGCTGCTGCTGCTGCCGCCGCCGCCGCCGCCGCCGCCGCCGCCGCCGCTTCTTCCTGCCTATATATATACCAGTCCTGCTCTACGTCTCGTTAGTGTGACTGTAAATGGTCCAAGTCAGACTGAAACGTTGTCGTAAGCTCCTTTTTTTTATATGTGCGGGTTATTTGTGCATCGTTCCAGTCACGGTATTGTGCCTTTTTTTTTTGTTATTTATGGGGAAGGTATTCAGGGAACCGGAGTGCAGATCCAATTCCCTAGATCAAGAGCACCTCACTAGCGTCAAGGAACCTCCCTTGAGGGGAGATTTCTACTATAGTGAGAGCTTACCACAGCAGCCTTTGCATGAACATCTGCCCACTCATTACCAGACACACCATATCTCAGGCACCAGTAAAACTCCACATTCTTGTGCCGCGCGTGTGGAGATAAATTGCTGAATCTTTTGAAGCACAGGGTGGGCAGAAGCATACCATGCTAGGGCAGACAAAGCACATGGAAATCTGAGTACAGGTAATATAGGAAGGATGTATTATTAATATATAGGAAGGACGTAGAAGGGATAGGTTTACACAAGGGGGGAGGGGGGGGGTTAAATGTAAGAACCATGTGGATATGTACACTCATGCATGCATTTGTTTCTAGTTTGTGGTAGTAATTATATACAAGGGTGGGTGTGGAGAGTTAAATGTTTAGTGTCGAGCAGTGGGAAGGGTTAAGGGGTAATTGCAGTGTACCTTGCCCAAATGTGGCTGGCCAAGCTGTAATAGTCTCGTCTCATGATACCATTATGTCAAGAAAGGGCACACACCCTATTGAATTTTAACTAGGGTTTATATTTGTATATTGTATTATGGTACAAATTACATTTTTTTCATTTCATATACGTACTGTATTTTGTGTGTGTGTATTCACCTATTTGTGGTTGCAGGGGTCGATTCACAGCTCCTCTTCACTGATTGCTACTAGGTCCTCTCTCTCTCTCCCTGCTCCATGAGCTTTATCAAACCTCGTCTTAAAACTACGTACAATTCCTGCCTCCACTACGTCACTTTCTAGGCTGTGCCACTTCCTGACAACTCTATGACTGAAGAAATACTTCCTAACATCCCTTTGACTTTTCGGAGTCTTCAGCTTCCAATTGTGATCCCTTGTTTCTGTGTCCCATCTCTGGAACATCCTCTCTTTGTCCACCTTGTCAATTCCTCACAGTATTTTATATATTGTTATCATGTCTCCTGTCAGGCCGATTTCCCTTAACCTTTCTTCATAGGACATTCCCTTTAGCTCTGGAACTAGTCTTGTTGCAAACCTTTGCACTTTCTCTAATTTCTTAACCAGGTGTGGGTTCCAAACTGGTGCTGCATACTCGAGTATGGGCCTGACGTACACGGTGCACAGTCTTGAATGATTCCTTACTGAGATATCGGAATGCTATTCTCAGGTTTGCCAGGCGCCCATATGCTGCAGCAGTTAACTGGTTGATGTGCGCCTCAGGAGATGTGCTCGGTATTATACTTACCCCAAGATCTTTTTCCTTGAGTGAAGTTTGCAGTCTTTGGCCACCTAGACTATACTCTGTCTGTGGTTTTCTTTGCCCTTCCCTGATCTTCATGACTTTGCATTTGGTGGGGTTAAATTCAAGGAGCCAGTTGTTGGACCAGGCTTGTAGCCTGTCCAGGTCTCTATATAGTCCTGCTTGATCCTCGACCAATTTAATTCTCATTAACTTCTCATTATCTGCAAGCATGGACACTTCTGAGTCTATCCCTTCTGTCATGTCATTCACATACACCAAAAATAACACTGGTTCTAGGACTGACCCCTGTGGAACCTCGCTCATCACAGGCGCCCACTCTGACACCTTGTCACGTACCATGACTCGTTGTTGCCTTCCTGTCAGGTATTCTCTGATCCATTGCAGTGCCCTTCCTTTTATGTGTACCCGATCCTCTAGCTTCTGCACTAATCTCTTGTGAGGAACTATGTCGAAGGCCTTCTTGCAGTACTAGAAAATGCAATCTACCCACCCCTCTCTCTCATGTCTTACTTCCGTTACCTTGTCATAAAACTCCAGTAGGTTTGTGGCACGGGATTTTCCTTCCCTGAATCCGTGCTATGTGCTCCACTACTCTCCTCCTGTGTGTGTGGTGTGTGTGTGTGTGTGTGTGAGAAAATAAACAGGTATACATGAATGCTTTCATGCGCTTCCACATCAGAATACAAAGAGGAGTTAAGAGAAATTCTTTTAATTTTTCCTTTAAAGTTTATGGAATCTGAAACATTCACCAAATTTTTCAAGTATTGACATTGCTGGTTCTGCTTCAGTTTCTTCGTCATCTTGCTCTTCCTCAGTTGATGACTTGACAAGTTCTTCTAATTCCTCATTTGTCAATGTGCAATTTGGAACTTATGAATCGTTTATTTCTGGAATTTCCCATTTAATATTTTAGGGCCGCAGTAAACTGTGGATAACTGAAACCACAGAAACTGAATCTGTGGACACAGGGGTTCTACTCTATAAGCTTGAGCCAGTGATTGGGCTTGTGATTCTTAGTGCTTAAAGATAATGAATTTCATGTCAAAACTGAAATATCACTATGTAAAATGCCGTTTTACTCATGGGTTTGATACTACAAAACTGAATGTAGGTATAGGATGTCAAATGGTAGGACTGTTACTTGTGATATTACAGTACGGTATTATCATGGGTAATAAGATGATTTAGTACCTCCTTAATACCATCATCTAGCCTTATTTTCAAGTAAATTTGCACAGGCAACAACAGTAATGATCTCAACTCTTTTGTAGTATGAACACAATTTTTGAGTGTGTAGTATATTATAAACATAGTTTGGAGGGTAGGGCAAAGCAAAGACTTCAGATGGTAATAATCCACCAAAGTACATTAGAGTACTGTAATAAATAGGCATAACAGTGCACCATTTGCTAAACCATATTCTTCTGAATGTAGGAAAATCATTGCTACTGTAAGTAATGTGGTTTTAAAAAAATGTTCTTTTTTATAGTATGAAATGATTTGTGAGCTATATAAAGAAGTAATGGTTTTCCTCTGATACAAAATATCAAACTAAGTGCTCTTTTCCTGACACTTAATAATCATTCAGTATTGACCTCCCTAACAGGTAACCTTCAACAAGCGAAAGTTTGGAGTGATGAAGAAGGCCTATGAACTGTCAGTGTTGTGCGATTGCGAGATTGCCCTTATTATATTTTCGTCCTCCAACAAACTTTACCAGTATGCATCAACGGACATGGACAAGGTGTTACTGAAGTACACAGAATATAATGAGCCTCATGAATCCCTCACCAACAAAAATATCATTGAGGTACAGATGCACCAGTGTTACCCCAGCCCTTGACTGGGCACGTGTGCTTGTTTAAATGCTTACACCCTATTTATTGCAGCTACCAGTAGATCTTCCAGCTTGGAGTGTGACTTCAGAGTGTACGCCATGTGTCAGCAGTGTTGTGTCTGCTTTATCCTACTAACCTAGGTGAGCGTAACCCCACCACCATTGCCCACCATTTGAAACAGTATTTTCCAGCAACAACTTTAATGGATCCTGGTGTGTGGTGGTGGGCTTGCGTTGCCAGCATCTCGTGTGTGGTTGTGAGCTAACAGCCCTGCTCGTTTGTACATTACAGGTGACATTCACAAAACGCAAGTTTGGTCTGATGAAAAAAGCATATGAGTTGTCGGTGTTGTGTGACTGTGAGATCGCACTCATCATCTTTAACTCTAGCAACAAGCTATTCCAATATGCATCCACGGACATGGACAAGGTCCTCCTCAAGTACACCGAGTATAATGAACCTCATGAATCCAGGACCAATAATGATATCGTCGAGGTAATAATCATCTTTCATCAGCAAAGTTTCTCCTAAAATATATAGCTATTGATTGATCTAATGGTCAGATATTGATAGTGGGTGATACCAAAGAGAAAGTACTATATTATTCCAGTAATGAGTTCAGGAACCTATTTTATCCATCAGTGCATTTAAGTCTGTATTACAGGTTTTGGAATCTGGAAGTTGTACTTTTTTACACTTCAGAGTACAATATTTACATAAGTTTTAGTTTCCATACAGATTAAAATGAATAAAAATTATGCACATTACATCAGAATAAAATCCTGTAACAACAACACACAGTTGACAAGCATTTAAAATAATTGCCACATTACATCACTGTACCCATTAGTATAGAGCATTGTTAATGTATTTTTTTTTACCAGTAGTTTAGTTTGCATGTAACAATACAGTACTAGCAATGTAGTGAGCATGTGACTTTTTTTTTTTTTAAATCTATTAGTACAGTATTTGTGTTTAGTGTAGCTAGTATGTAAAGTTGTAAAAATTGTCTAAATTCAGATATAGCATCTGTCAAACCTTATCTATCCTTCTCCGGCAAGCATCACTTTCAATGTATTATGTCATTATTGAACAATGGGACATACTGAAAAAAAGTATGGTTTAACTCAAGTCTGAGAAGGAAATTTAGTGTGGTCACAGTAGTAATTTCTCTTGCTTGTCACTAGTGACATTCAGGTTTGTACACTGGTAATTTTACTATGTTGTAATACTAGTATGCTGCTAATGTATATTAGTAGAAAAATGTCATTACATTTGTTCATGCCTTATTAGTAATTCTTATATAATATATACATTAATACTATGTGTATATTTTTAAAGCCAAGCTTACGGACTTGACTCTGGAAAAGCTTTAGTAAATCAGTACAAGAAGGTAAGTCTGAGACAGGGTGGAAAGTAACAAACATCATATGTACTGATATTGAAAAACAAAAGGCACAGTAATTTGGAAAATGATTTAAACTACAGAAGAAGCTTCTCTTAGCAAATGCTGTGGCAAAGATTCATTATAAAGCCATTAAAGAAACGTTGACAATAACACTTGGAGTACAAAAACCGGTTAACTACCAAAATTTTAGTTTCAGATGAGAGATTTCATATAGTAAGCTTATTAGGTTCTGTGATAATAACAGAAATCATAAGAGATGAATGGGCAGATTATGTTTTTTGAGATTTCAAAAATCATTTTGTGATCAGAATGTGACAAAGGCTCTATAGTTATCAGTTACATAACCACTGAAAGGAGTCAAGTCATTTACGGCAGAAGATCCAGAACTGATTATTTTTGGATGAGTAGGGAAGACGAGTCAATTTAAAACTGATAAAGCATCCAAGACAGAGACATAACCAAGCTGCTTTGCAACCCCCCATCAGAAGAAAAATATTAAAGAATCATGGGAAATGACAGCAAGGTTTGCAGTGCACTCAACTGAAAGTTCTGCTGTTGGCAAATGAGCAAGGGGCCAATGTTGTACAAAGATAGAAAGGAAAATAAACTAAACAGAAGAATCAAGCCCTGAAAAGAGTAATGAGCATGTGAAGGGACAAATGAAAAGAGCTGAAATGTTGTACAAGCTGTTCACACAGATCTTTAACAAATCATTAGTGGTGATGGGTGAAGAGTGATTGAAATGTAACAAATGTGATGCCAGAACTCGAGAAAGGTGCCAGGCAGAAAACTCTTGAGCTACAGACCAGTGTTCCTAATAATTAATTGTAATGTGTAAACTGCTGGAAAATATTAAAAGAATTTTTGGGGAATGGATCAGTATAAGCAGGACCTATATAGCATTGGTGAGCAGTGCTCTTCATTTCCTATATTCTTACATACCAAATTCATCACAACATTGAGTCTGAGATGGAAAATCGGTCCTTACAAACTTTATAAAGACATATGATAGATTAACAAAGATTTGACAGTAAGAAGAAAGATGGGTAGACTCCTTATTGATCAACTATTAGATATTTGATATGATACTACATAGAAAGCTACTTAGTAAATTGGCCATGAAGGCTTGGGAAAAAGAGAGGTAATAGTGTGGATAAGGAAACATGTGACCAATAGAAAATAGTTACTATAAGGCTTGGAGCATCAGGATGAGAATAACTAATTAAATCTCACAAGGATCAATGTTGAACTTCAAGGTTTTCCTGGTGTATATTGATTCTGATTAAAGAAATTAGCTCTGTATTCTTGCTGGCAGACAATTCTAAAATAACGAGAATACAGACTGAAGAGGATGACGGAAATCTCCAGGAAGATTTGAACAAACTTCAGGAATTATCAAATAAATAGCCACTGGAATTTAACCAGAGCAAAGGTGGAATTAAGCTGGGAGACTAGAAAAGGAGATCAAAGACAGATTACCATTGACAGTTAGAAAATTTATTATTATAATCATAATTAAGTGCTAAACCCACAAGGGTCATACAGTGCTGCTGGTAATTAGAAAAGTTCATGGAAACTTTTATATGAAAAAAATCTAGGAATAACCATTACCCAAACCTGTTATCTGACTCACAAAAAGAGAATATTTGCAACATCACAACCTAAGCTTGGCTCACAAACATGTATCATGCAGGAGCCTCGACAGACCCGTTTTAAAACCATTTTTACCTCATGCTGCACATACTACTATTTCTTGAGTATGTAGCTCTGGTATGGAAACAGTTTCTACTAAAACCAAGTGAAAAGCAAGAAAGTGTAAATGCAAGTATCATGAAAGCAAGATCTAGCTCGCCCTCGTGTCACTTAACCCGTAAACGGTCCAAGCAGATCTACGTTCACATGTGTAGTGCTCCAAAAGTAGATCTACGTTTTTTTTTTTTTCATATTTTCAAATATAACAAAAAAAAAGTAGATCAAATTTTTTTTTACACGTTTTCAAATGTAAAAAAAAAAAATCTACTTTTTTTACATACTTTCAAATGTTGAAAAAACGTATATATACGTTTGGACTGTTTACGGGTTAAGGAGCAAAGAATGAGGGATGATATAATCATGGCATCAAGGATGTAATAAGAACAAAGGGGCAAACCTGAGTGAAGATTAGAAAACATTTCTTCATTTAGGAGTGTAGAAATTATAAAACAGTGTGAGGATAGATGAGGGGGTCAAGATGGTTTTGGTCATTGAGGTGGAGCAGAAAAGGATGACCAAGAGGTGTCTCCAGAATGGATGGAAGGATAGGAGTCGTCCTAGGGAGGAGGTGAAGGAGGTTTTAAGTAGCAGAGGCTTCAATATCCAGCAGGCATGTATAAGCATGTTAGGTCAGAGTTGAGAAAAGTGACATTTTTTGGGAAGGGGAATTTGACCTGCTGTTGGAGTGTGACCAAGGTAACATTTATGAAGGAATTCAGGAAAAACCAGTTACCCAGGCAGTGGAGGTGAGAAGTACAGTACTTGCACTCTGGAGGAGTGGAGATGTTCCAGTTTGAGGGTTATTTGAAAACCTGTCAAGACATATTAAATTAATGATGATGAATCTGTATTTTGCTTTTGGCCTCCCTTCCTTGGTGGGAGATGGCTAATGTGGGGAAAAAAAAAAATGTCAAATAAGAGTGGTAAAATAGTATATCTAAAGCAGTGACAAGAGTGGGAACAGAATCTATACAGAGGTTCTACACTGTATGACCCATACAGGAGCTGAGTCTCGACCCCTGCAACCACAATTAGGCGAGTACAAAGGTTATAAAGCGTATACAGTAGGGGCCTACTTATATGGCAGGTTAGGTTCAAGGCTACCACCAAAAAGCGGAAATCACTGGAAAGCAGAACGCCATTTTTTCCACTTATAAATGCCAAATAACACATTTACACTAACATATATTAAGCTAACAGAAAAACTAGGTATTAAACAACAATAAAAAGTCAAATACATAAACAGTACATTCATTACTTACCTTAAAATATTTATAGTCTTAATGTAGGGTGAGAGGTGAGTAGTATGTACTTATTTGTAGGAAGTCAGGTGTAGGTAGCCCTAGCTCCCTGTCCCAGACTTATTATACGATATTTAAAGCAGCCCAGAGAGATAAAATACACATACAGTACACTCATTAATTACCTTAAAATATGTGTAGTCTTAATGTAGGATAAGAGGTGAATAGCATTTATTTGTTGGCAGTCGGGTGTAGGTAGCTGGTAGATGTAGCTATGTAGTCCACCTGGCTACATAGCTACACCCGCCTACATAGCTATACGATATTTAATGCGGCCCAGAGCCATATTATTACCATCGACATACCTTATTCACTGAGTTTAATCATTTCTAACAACTACCTTTAGATGCCATCATAAATGAAGGTAGAAGTTATGAGAAGAATTCAGGCAGAGAATTGTAAACAAGACGGAATGTGTTGAGGGGAGTGACTGGGCCAAAAGCAGATTCATACACATTTTCACTGGTGCTGGACCGGAGAAAACGTAATGTTTTCCCTCCGCCCAGCTACCACACCTCATACATATGTGAAATTTATTGTACTGTGGGTGTATGTACCATGTAACATGTTTCTTACATAATTTTGAAGAAAATATCATAGATGGATGAATGAAAATGTCTATATTAATGTAAAATAAGACATTTAATGTACCCAAGAGTGGTTATTATTACATATTAGTAGTATTACTATGGCAGTAAGACTAGAGGGACACTCTTAGTGATTTTAATATGTACCTGCATGCCAGCACAGTGTGTAGGTTTATTTAGGTACAGTTACACATATAATTATCAAAGTACATATAAAATATGCAATAACTTTAAAACCCTTGAAATTCTGGAAAATTTCCAGACATAATGGTGGAGACGTGCTCACAGAGAATGTAAACAAACTGGGTGGAGTGCGGTGACCATATTAGAAAGACAGGGGGAGCCGTATAGCAAGTTTTGGTCATAATTTGAAATGTCTGTATTAGCAGAATGCCATAAAGTGGAGCCCTGCTGTATATAACTGCTATTTCACATTCATAAATCAAA